TTTTTTTTTTTTTTTTTTTTTTTTTTTTTTTTTTTTTTTTTTTTTTTTCTCAGACTCGAGTATTCAACGTTTCCGCGGCAGCCTCGTAACTCTTCGTGTTTCTACGATTCGAGTAGAAAGACGAATCGGAACAACGATCGGCCACCGGTGTGTCGGGCTGTCTGTCTCTCCACTTGCGACGAACAACGGTATGAACGGTGAAGCAGCGTGGACTTGTAAGACAGGCACTGTGCTTTTAGGCTAGCGGGCCGAGACGGATTCCGGCGGAGGACTGCGATACTTGGCTCGAATTGGAAGGAAGTTGGTGAGTTTGTTGCCGTGAGGCGAAGGCGGCGTGCTCTCGCGGTTGAGGGTCCTCACCTGACAGGGGTCGTGCCTCGCCAAGAAATGCTCCAACGTGTCCCAGCCCCCGCCCACTCGTACCATCATGTGTCTACCCTTCAAAAGCTGCGAACATACAGTCACGGGCAGAATCGTCACGGAACGTTCAAAAACACTTGGTGAATGTCTGTCTCGATTCCCGATGCGTACGTACCCTGATGAATACATTTCGTCCAGCAATGTGATACCGTCCCTCGCCGACTTTGCGCACCTTCAGCTTGGAGCATCTCTCAGACGGACACTGACAGAGTCTCTGCACCGCTTCCGTGGCTCTTCTTACCTGAAGACAAGCAGCAAAATTGGTCACCCTGAGACGTACAAAAGTATTTTTACAGTATTTTGTACACGGTAAGCTGCCACCTTGAGATAAATCGGCTCGACGGGCAAAGTGTCGATAGAACGTCCGCTCATGTGACATGCAGGAATCCGACACGTGAAAACTTCTTCTCTCTCTCCCTCACATGGATGACCTCTCACTTGCTCGCACAAGTCGCGGTCAATGCTAGTTAATTGCGTTACTCGTAGATAACAAAGCGGAATTCCTCCCCCCTCGGAGACAAGGGAGAACGAGTGCATCTCTTGCGTAATTGGTTTTGCATGTCAATGAAACGAGAATAAGAGAGAAGGTGGTAATGCCTATTGTCTGTTGGATAACAGGCAGTACTAATTTTGCGCTTGTTCCGCCGCTAGCTTCTGCTCGAGTACGCTATTTCCAGTGTATTTGCTAATGTGGAATGCATGTAAGCGAAACAGAAGAGGAACGCAACAGGATCTCGAATTCGACGCGATTTCTTATTCCTCATTTCAACATATAAATTTATCCCGAGATATCGTTCGAATCGTGATACACGTTGTGATAAATGGAATTGCTGTCTCTACTACGTAAGAGCTCCCAGGTGTTATTACAGAATTAGTGCAAAGTAATTGGCGCGCGACCCGAATATCTCATAAAGCGACAAGGCGAGAATATCGACAAAGCGAGAGAGAGAGATCGATGAGCGAGAAGTTGGCGAATACGCGGACAAAAGGCTCGCGCCCGGGTATAGAATATAGAACGGAGATCAACGTACCTTGCGATCGAGTTCCGTTATAGGGCCGGTGTGTTCCGGCGGCTCGGCCGGCGAGGGCAAAGGTGAACTCGACGGCGATGGAAGCTCGTCCGGGTCCTCGGCGCTTCCTCGAGACCAGTCGTCCTCCGTCGTGTCGCTGGGAACTCCGTCGCTGCCCGCTGGCCCATTGTCGCTCACCGACCTCCTCATCTCTGGCTCGTGCGTCACACCGGTGCTCGGATCCAGCCATCTTGTCGCCGTCAACGCGACCTCCGACGCCGAGCTGCAAAATACCCACCGAAATTCCGCTTCCATTGCCGCAAGTCTCTCAGTCTTTTCAAACGCTTCGAGAACATCTTTATTCGAATTCACGTAAAAATGATCAGATCCTTCCGAAAGAGGCACGAGTGGAAGATCATCGAAGATCGTAGATAGAATCGTAGGGGTTGAACTGATCGAGTGAGTGGAATGTACGGTAACGATCTCGTCAAGAGCGGGAATATAAATGGAAATGAAACCGGGGGGGGAGGTAAGAAAGTACCTGCTGTGTTTGATCTTCTCTGTCGGAGGCCTGGGACTCGTTGCGGTCGGGGACGGCGATTGAAATTGCCAAGAAACCAAACTGCTGTGGGATATACCGCTGTCGGACAGACAGTGGAGATCTCGCTCTTGTTCCGCGGCAATTTCCCTCTCGAGCTGCACGAGTCCCGGTGGTTCGACGGAATACCTCGACGCCAGTCGAGCCACTTCCAACAGGCACAACACCACGTTCCGTGGCTGCCCGTGTAACACTGTAAAATTAAAACTGTCTTGTATACGTGTTATGTAATTTGAAGACAGAGGAAGCATATAACGTACGTCACGCCAGGCGACTAATAATCTTTCAGTCCAACTCGTATTTTGGAGTAATTCTTAATAATCATAAATTTAGTGTCCTTTTTTTTTTCTTTTTTTAAATTTAAGTGTCACAGTGATCGATCACGAAATAATTTCCAAGGACCAACGAAATATTGTTTTTATTTTCGACATATTTGCTGCTCCATTCTCAGTTGATGTCCCATGATGTTGCCAGCGAGCATGCAAATGGAATGTATTAAGTTGCTCGAGCAAAAATTCATCCAAGTGTCTTTATTAGAATTTTATTAAACGTACACCTGGCTAAAGAAAAATGCTGTTCGTGATGTGCCTTGAGGCGAGTATTGCCACTACGTGTATCAAACCAGACATTGATGAACTAGTATCCAAAACACAAGCGTTCTCAGTGTTCTCATTAAAAACTTTCATATTTCTTTAATTAATATAAATATATATTTCTCCAATCAATGTATATCGCTTCGGTATAAAAATTATTATCAACCTGCTCATAAATAACACAGATTACATTGAACTGATTTTTGTCGATCTGGGCCGATGAAGCCCAAAAGATCCAAAAGGATATCCACGGTTCAGTCGCGGAGAGAAACGGCGAAGAACGATCGTTTCATACGCAATTACGTACAAGTTTCGCATTGATTTACGCGTGTTGTAAATATAGTTTATACAGTGGCCGGCTACATATTTATTCATGAGTAAGGAAAATATTATCAGAGCGTAGAAATCGTTACAATTCGGGGATATACACCAAGGCCAGGTGAAATATATTTTCGATGGGAACTTTCTATCTGAAGTTTATACGATGAATAAATAGTTACACATGCATAATTTATCAGTTGCTTCGAGGCTCTTCGATGCTTCAGTATATTTTTTATTTGCAAAGGCTGTCGCTGCATTGGATTAAATGACACGTTACAGTTCGCGGAGTGGGCTATAAAATTGCAACGACAGGAGCCTCGTTACGAGGAAGGAAAAAAAGAGAAGGAACGTAGACTCTATTTACAGAGCGCAAGTGGTGACACCCTCGACCTTCTTCAACTCCCACGACTGTAATTGATCAATTCAGCCTACATTCAAATAGATCGCTTTAGCAAAACGAAACAGCCGCGATAATGTTTTAGCCGGGAAAGGACTTTTACGTCTTCGATAACAAAATGAAAAGTCTAGCTTTCAAACAAATTCATCCATGTCGGGGAAATAGACGAGCTTCTCAATTCGGATCTCCTATGGTCCACGAGACAAAAGCTTTGTCCCCGTCCCCCCCCCCCCGTTAAAATTACATGCACGATGATTGTACGTTTCTCGTTCTCTCGAGGACAAACGTGACACAAAAATCTAGATTCATGGGCTTCCAACCGAGAGAAGGATTTCAAACTTGGCGAGACAAGCTAAACGAGACAAAGAGAAAAAGGAGAAGCTCTGCCATTATATTTCGCCCCTATTGTATCGAGCTTCGGACAGCGTGAGTCGTGTTTTAGCGTACACATCCGAGCTCGAATAGTCAGCGAACACTCTATTTTAGGTATGGTGAACAGAGGGAAAAACGGAGCAACGCGAGGAATTATATTTGAGGAGAACGCGAATTTTCGAGAACCTGCAGAGAGATAGGTCCGCCACGTTATGCGTTTCTACGCACGATATTAATCGTTAAATTGCATATCGCGTAATTAACACGAACCAGATTATCTTGATTCTTTGAG